TAAATTTGTAAATTAACTTACAGGCCACTATGGTTTGGGTGTGGTTTGAGTGTGTCCCCCCAAAATTCAGTTGCTAGAAATTTGGTCCTCAGTTGGTTCTCAGTGTGTCAACATGGAAAGATGGTGGAACCTTCAGGAGGTTGAGCCTAGTGCAAGATAATTAGGTAACAGTTCATCACTCTTGGAAGGCATTAATAGTGATCTTAAAGAGTAAGTTTGTTTTCTCAAAAGGGAGTTGCTATAAAAAGAGCAAGTCTGGCTCCATATCTCTTTTTTCCTGTTGTATCTTTTATCTCTTCTGCTTGTCAACCCACTATTGTGATGCATATACCAAAAGGCCGGAACAGATGGGGCTTCGTAACACTGGACTTTCAGCCTCCCAGACCTCCTTTTACATTCCCCAGCTTCAAGTATTTTGTTATAGGAAGAGAAAATGAACTAATACAGAGGCACTGCTATGTTTATGGAATTGATTCATCTTATTCAAAAACGTGGAATAGCTGTCTGATCTAATTTTATCCAAGAATATAGAATGTATCTTATATATTTTTCAATGTCTACTTTTGCATCTTTCAGGAGTGTTTTATAGTTTTCCACAGGTAAGTTTCATATAAGTGGTAACTCTTGACTCAGAGATTTTTAACGATTTGAGTTTCATCTTATAGATGAGAAAACTGAGGATTAACTAAAATAACTATATGTCTGTTTGAGATCACAGAGTCAGCAATGGGACCCTGGTCTTCTGACTGGCATTATAGTGTTTTCCACTATAACACCGTGTGTTGCTATATCAAAATACTTGAGGCTGTGACTATATAAAGAAAAGAAGACTGCTTACCTTATGACTCTGGAGACTGGAAAATCTGCATAGTATGATGTCTACTGTTAGCAAACTCCCTCTCACACCCCCATTGCATTACAACATGGCAAAGATAGAAATAGTCATGTGCAGTGGGGACCAAGTGCATGGGCAGAGAACACCAGGGACATCTCAAATGTTACCCATTACACTTTTCTTTACCCATTAGACCAGACATGGGTATCCACTACATGTTTTCTTAGCATCCTGTTGGTCATTTTCAATTACATTGCAACTGTAATTTAAAAATTAGCTATTTGGGGCCGGGGATTAACCCAGCGGTATAACCGCCTGCCTTGCAAGCAGGCAGTTGTGAGTTCGATCCCTGGTATTGATAAAAATAAATAAAATAAAAATTAGCTATATGATTCATAGTTTAATTTTATAATGCTTGTCTCCTCAAGAGTGAAAATTTTACAAGACAGGACAAGCAAGATGTCATTTCTGATTGAAATCTGATTGTTAAGCTTAACAGCCCCTGAAAATTATTTGGCTGTCACCATTGCCTCACACCCAATCAAGGGGAAATCAATTTTAGGTATACAGTATTTTAAACTAGAAAATCAAGCCCACAAAGTTATAGTCATATTAGGATAGCAGTAATTCTGTCAATATTGCAAATCCCAGGTTTACCATATGAATATTTCTAAATGGAGTTCTTTATGTCTTAACATAAATAGAAATTGATTCACATTGAACTGCTCCACTCTAAAAAGAAATAGAGTAGCAGAAGCAAAGCCAGGTTGTTGTGGGTTAGAGAGTGAATCATAGATTTATAAAAATAGAAGGGACTGCTCTTATCCTAGCCAGCAGTTTAAAAATCAAACTTTGATTAGCATTATTTCTTAACATTGTTATACTTTTCTCATTATTATAATTTATAACAACAAATACTTTAAATTATAATTCATATCTGGAAAGAAATTAGATTTTATTATAGGTGCCTCACATAAGAAACAAGGCCAGCTTCACATATAAAAAGATGTTTAATAGTAATCAGGGAAATGTACATCTTAACCACTTTATACCCTTCAGATTGACAAGACCAGTCTAAAGTTGGGAAACACCATGTATGGTGATAATAAAGATCAGTAAGAACCCTTAAATTCTGCACAGGAAACTACATGACACTGTGGCTGGAAACACAGACTACAGAGTTATTGTGCGTGGTATCCAGTCCTGCCTCTGCCTCTTGGTTGCTGTTTATTCCAGATAGGTGTTTCCCAGAAACAACTGACTTTGGGAAAGCTATATACTATGTTATGCCTTCCATAAAATCTGAAAGATTCAAACAGATCCTTCTTCAACAGAAGTGGTATGAGTTTTGAGCTATATAACATGCCACATGAAGTATCTGCTAATATTATTATACAGTCACGTCAGAGAACAATTTGACTTAGTGCTACCTGTAGCAAAAAATTAAAGTTGTGCATAGCATACTCAACAATTTTATTCTTTGGGACATATTCTAGAGAAACTCTTATAGGTAGGTGTACAAAAGGAGGCACATGCAAGAAGTTACATTTAGCACTGTTTGTACTGGAAAGTCAGAGACAGACAAAATATCTATCTGTAGGTATTTCATAGAAACCCAACCCTGATGTATGAGGACCATCCACCAAGGTGGAAGGTTCTGTTAGAGCAAAAAAAAGCAGACGGGTCTAGGATTGCACAAAATGTGCTTTATTAGGGACTTGTAGACATATTTTGAGTGGCAGCATGGCAGGAGGATTTTTTTACCCCAAAGAAGGTAGAAGGGGTTTGTATTCTGTTATGGTTTATATGTAGATGTTACTCAGCTTCATGAGCCCACAGGCAGGGCATTTAGGAGATGGGTGGAATCATGGAGGTGTGCTACTCATCAACAAATTCATCCACTAATAAGTTTATAACTAAATGTGATTTTAGGAAACAATACCTGATAAGAAAAGGTGAGGGTATGGCGGGGGGTATGGCCTAGAAGGGTATGTCTCCCTCCCATCTCCCTTGGTCTCTCTCTCTGCTTCCAGCCACTATGCCATGAAGGTACTTTTCCTCTGCTTTGCCTCTGCCATGCTGTCCTGCCTTGGAGTCAACGGAATATGGACCAACACCTCTACAAACTGTAAGCCAAAATACACATTTCCTCCTTTAAATTGTGACTATCAAGTATTGTACCTCTGAGATAAGAAAGTGACTGAGACATATGCTAACCTAGACAAAGGTGAGCAACAGTCCTAGTATGTTGCTAGCCTCTTTCAAAAGCTTCCTTCAATTGTTTAATACATTAAGCATCAATTAAGAGACAATTGTAGCATCAGTGGCCAGTGCAATATACTCAGCTGATTAGTGACTTTGTCTTACAGAGACTTGGATATGTGCTGGTCAGCTGGTGGGTAAAATAGTAATTACAATCATGATGGCTGTAGTTATATCAAGCTTGATCCCTACAGTAGGATAATGCATTTTAAAAATCTGTGGTATAGTCATATAATAGAATACTATAGAGAGAAAAGAATTAGTGCAATGGTTCTCAAACTTTAATGCTTTACAACCTCCTAGATAATATTTTAAAACACAGAAAATGGCTCCTCACAAAGTTTCTGATTTATTAAGTCTATGGTAAAACCCAAGATTTGCATTTCTCAAGTGATGCTGATACTGCTACTCCTACATCAGACTTTAAGAATCACTGAATAGGACCTTCATGGATCAACACGACAAATTATGGAGTGGGAAAATCAAATTACAGAATAATGCATTACTTTAGTATCATTTATACAGTTTTAAAACATGGAAAAGAAATAATTTTACTTCATGTGTATATATCACATACACAAGTATATGGCCTAAATCACAAAAGCAGTCAGTCGTAGGACTAGAATTTGAAATATTCTTATCTGGATCTAAAGACCATTCATTTCCCATTACAATCTTATTACCAAGAGGTATTCTTTCTCCTTCAGAAACAACAGAACAAGAATAAATTTAATGTCAAGAATAAGTAAAGAAAACCTGGCTAATAGTTTAGAATATAGATATCAAGAAGTCAGTCTTTTCTTGATATTCCCCCACTTTACACTTGTATCTTGGTATTACTCCACTTTACACTTGTATGTAAATATATAGTAAAAATCAGGTGGCTATGTGCTATGATAGAATCTGGAGTAAAAGACAATGGAAAAAGCATTTATTTGCCCAACACTAAGAGTTCACATAAACAGATAAAGAAAATATGGTATTTATATATAGTGAAGTACTACTATGGCATAAAGTAGGACAAACTAGAATTAAATGTGGGAAAATGGATGCACCTTGATCCCATAATGTTAAGTGAAATATATTTGACACATGAGTTTAAATCACATGGTTTCTCTTGTGGGAAAATCCCTCCACCACCACCCCACCCCCAAATAAAGAGCAAGATAAATGACAGATAATAGGAATTAAGGAGAGAAATCTTTCGCAAATGGGAAAGGGACCTAATGGTGAAGGGAGAGGGTAGATGGGAATGAAAAAAGAATTGAGATGTGTTATGTACATACACCAACTCCCAAGGAAGAATATAATCATTATGTACTGCAAACAGGTAATAATGAAAAATAGAAATTGAAAAAAAAGTCTCGTGGTAAATACCAAGCAAATAGAGCAAGCTGGCATTCCTGCAGAGTTCTGAATAAAATACTGGCTGCTTGAAAACTCTATTGTGGGAAATCTGGAGAGTCAGGTCTATTTCTGATTTGTCTGAGGATCCTCAGCATCTCTGCATAGTCGGGTTCTGATAGATATATGTCAGCTCCACATATGCATGTGTCAATATTTCAGTCCACAATCAAGGGCAACACTATGCCAGATGAAGCCACACCAGTTACACACAAATCTGAATTCCTGCTTTGCCATAAATATTCCCACCTTTCTGTTACTTTTGTTGGGGGTGGACAGAAAGGAATAGAAAAAGCTTCCGTATTTAAATACTGCCAGTTCGTCAGTAAACTAATAAGAATCCTCGAGGTACAAGAAATTGGATCTGAGGACAAGTAGTCTTTTAAGGTTACCAGGATGCCCAGCAAAGGGCGCGGCTGCTTCCGGAGCCGCGTCGGAACGGCTAGTCGGGAATATGTAGGTTTTGGCCGGAAGGATTTAGGCATAGGACCACTTCCGGCATCTGGCTAGGGGCGGTTGCAGGGAAAGGAAATAGCTCCAAGACCTGCATCCTGCTTGCGGTAGCGGCGGCAGAGGCGGAGGCTGAGAAGAGGGCGGAGAAGGCAGCTGTAGAGAAGAAAGTGTCAGAGCCAGTAAGTGAGCTGTCTTAGCGCAGTGGGCAGAAGGCAGCGCCCCAAGTCTCGCTTTGCAAATGAGTAATTCCAAGTTACAGAGCTGTCTGATGGGATCAGGGCAGTGCTTTGTCGGTCGCCCGTCAGTAGGCACAGAAAAGAGGCTTTTAGGGCTCTGGAGCCGGGCCTCGCGGGGAATCAGACTGCGCTTTCACTGGCTGACAACCCTATCCTGAAATCGGAGTAGGTGCTGGGCTGTCTTGCCGAGGACGTAGGGTCCGCACCCCGATAGTTTCCCCAGCCAGACAGCTCCTGGAATTTGGGGGAAGGAAATAGGTTACTTTTGCATGCCATTTAACCCTGGAAACTTGGCCAGATCCTGCCAAGTGCGTGGTGAACAGTGTTTCGGGGACTTGAGGAAGGGATCGTAGAGAGTGTTATGGTAGAGTCTTACTTCCCGGCTTCCCAGATGGTCGGAAGCGGAGTTACTTGTTTTGAAAGTCAGATACCGCCTCCTGCTCCTGTCACTTTCGGACAAAATAACAGCCTTAACAGTGGTTGTTAAACCAATGTATTCCCTTATCCGAGCTGTCAGATTAGTATTGTCATGGGTATCAGGTGATGGCTTTTAAATACACTTGTTGACGAGGTAAAAATTAAATTACCTCCAAGGACTTTTTAAAAAGATACAGGACAGACCTAGCAATTAAACTATTCAGTGCACTTTCCCTCGCTGTCACATAAAATCGTTTTTAGCATGCAGAGTAAGATAGTCATTTTATTTTTATTTTTATAATCAGATTTTATTGATACATTTTAGATATAAATAATGATCACATTCATAGAGAATTTGCACCTGTGTATAACTTGATCAGATGGTCGTTTCAAATGGCTAGATTCCACCGTGCGTTTGCATCTGCAAAAGGCCTGTGTATATTAGAATAAAAAATTCTTGATTACTGACAAAATGAGTTAAATAATTGTAAAAGTTGTTGCTGGAAAAATCAGAAAAAAAACTTTTATTAAGATACTGCTTTTCTGTTGTTTTAGGTTCGGCTTTAGAGTGTGGTAAGGGGTGCTTTTCATGGTGCATGGAAGGAAAGCCAATGCGCAGGTAGGCATTTAGGAAGAAACCCATGGGTTTCACTGATTGGAATTCAGCAAGTAATAATTCAAGGCTTCATTTAATACTTTTAAGGCATAGTGGCACACACTTGTAATCCCAGCACCAGGGAGGCACAGGCCAAAGGATCGCTGTGAGTTTGAGGCCAGCCTGGGCTACACAGCTAGACCTTGTCTTAAAATACATATTTTTTTTTTCAAAGGTTCTCAAACCTTAGTAAATTCTGCTTAACATGAATGATAGTTGTTCTAAAATTTTATATAGTTCTTAACATTTAAATTTTCCTTTTGCATACTAATTTTTATAACCATTTAAAGTGTACTATAATACTCTCTTGGTTTATTGTCATTTTAATTCCTGCAAGAACATTGATGACTCTGTTACCACATAAGAACAATAGTCATGAAAAAAAAAGAGAGAATAGTACTCATTTGTCGTTTACACTGTACTGCATGCCTAGTTATGATTTTGGTTATTTCACTAATGTTCAGTAATACATTTGTTCTGTTGATTAACATGGCTGTATTGCTGTATAGAAACTTTGAGGAATAAAAAAGATATAAAAAATAGAAGTGTGTGGGGAAATATAGACAATTACACTCCCTCCCTAGTACTGCTTTTTTCTCATCTGATCTGCCAGATGAGACTAGATTCTTATTGAAACAAAAGTAGAACACTTCTATTTAATGTTTAAACTCACTTTATAGTTATTGAAAGCTATTTAATCATTTGTTATTTACAGTCAAAGATAATGCTTAGAAACCCTTTTAATGGAAGAAATGTTTTATGATGAAGATATGACTTAGAACTAGACTCAAGAACTAGAATGCATGGCCTTTTCCAGATCTGTTATTGACTTATCAATTAACCTTGAGCTGTGCACCTCTGTACCTTAGTTTCCTATAATATATCTGACCAGGATATTGGGAATTAGTGAATATGAAATTTCCAAATGAAATGACATTATGGAGGTGACAACTCTTCATTGTCTTAGCTTTATCTTACCCTGTGGTAAAAATAATATTTGACTGTAAGGTACATAAAGAACTTAACACATATTAAATACTTCATCACTTCAATATCCAACATGATTTCAAAAGTCACTGATTGCTTCTCATCCTCGGCTACCATAAGTGCCATATCTTATATAATGCTAAAATAAGAGCTTATTGTTTTGACAGAAAGGCAGAACGTGGGACTACATTTGCTTTATTAGTAATTTCTGTATAAGTAATTTCTGTATTAGTAATTTCTGTATAATTTCTTCACTTAATCACTTCCCTGTTTTTTTCTTGCTTTATTATATAATAGTTATTCAAAATCATGTTGAGTAATTCTAGTGCCATCAATTCAATTATAGTTTTTTCTTTATATCCATCACTTGGCCAAAGCGTAACCTACCATTGCTTTCTGGTCATTATTTTTCCCTTGATGCCTACATTGAGTTATGATTACACTTTCCTATCCTTTCCTTGTCGCACTAACATTTTTGCTGCTGCAACTCAGAAGGCAGCATCTGGAATGCTGGGTTTGTACTCAGCTGCTGTTAAATGTTAAATGCTTCTCATCAAATGCTTGGATGAGAAGTCATGGTTTATATTGAGATTATTTGAGTACACTTTCACTCTCTCTATTAAAATGTGACCTCTCCGAGTCCTGTATGTTTTCAGATGTTTGTACCGCCTCGCACCTAGTGATTACTGAGTAACTGAATGAACAGTTTCTGCGGACCTTTTCCCTGCCCCCCCAAAAAGGTTCTATGAACAAGAAAAGAATGGGAATATTTTTAAAGGTATTCTTTTTGTGGTTTTTCCATTCAAAATTATTTTGATTATATACATTTATGGGGCACAGTGTGATAACTCATTACTTGTATACAATGTATAATGATCAGATCAAGGTAATTATCAGTTCCTTCTAATATCAATTAGGATGGCCATTATGGAAGGCAATATGGAACTTCCTCAAAGTACTAAGGTTAGAAGTACTGCTGAGCACACACCTTTAATTCTAGTGCTCAGGAGGATTGACACAAATTTGAGGGCAACCTGAACTACATGGCGAGACCTTATCTCAAAAAAAATTTAAAAATAGCATATCACAGAGATATATATGCATCCATGTGTATAGCAGCACAATTTGTAATAACTAAACCTTGGGAACAACTCAAATGCCCATCAATTGAGGAATGGATAAAAAAGATATATTTTTATACAATGGAGTACTACTCAGCCATACAGAAGTTGCATTCATTTATAGGTAAATAGAAAAGACCATACTCATAAGTGAAATAAGTCAGACTCCCATGTATAAACATTGTATTGTCTCCCTGGGGCGATGAACTGAAAGAATGAGGTCTAACATTTATAATGGATATCATGAAATGGGAAGAAATTGTTCAGAAGGAAAAAGGAACTAGATTAGGGAAAGAGGGAAAGAAATGAGGGGAAAAGAAAAAAATGCAAAGTAGTTATACTACTAATGTCTTTTAGTTCATTGAAAAGGAAGGTTCATGTTAATATGGATTAGAGAATTTTTATGCCCATATCTTGTACTCTGAGTAACTACGTTGAAGTTAACAATGTGTTAACAATTATTATTCTCCTATTATTTTACTGTGAAATTTTGTTTTATATTTTCTCCATAAAAAAATTTTTAAAAAATAAACTGCCATTTGATCCACTTATCCCACCACTGGATCTGTATCCAAAGAAAATTAAATTGGTATATCAAAGTGACAGCTGCATTCCAGTGTTCATTGCAGCACTATACACAGCATCAAAGATAATTATCAAGTGAGATATCCATTGGGGGATGAACAGAGAAAATGTAGTATATGTGCATAAGGGAATATTATAGCCAAAGCAATGAAATCCTATCATTGCAGCAACAGGATAAAACCAAAAGACACTGTGTTAAGTGAAAAAAGCCAGAAACAGGGGCTGGGGATTTAGCTCAGTGGCATAAGCACCTGCCTTGCAAGCAGGCGGCCGTGAGTTCGATCCCCGGTACTGATAAAAAGCAAAAAAGAAAAAAAAAATGTAAAAAAAAAAAAAAGCCAGAAACAGAAATACGAATACTCCATATTCTCATTCAAATATGGAAACTAAAGAGATGATTTCATAGATGTAGAAAATAGTATAGTGGTGAGGAAGGGGAAGAGGAGATGATATAAGGAGGCTAGATAATGAATACCAAAATTAGATAGGAAAAAAAAAGTCCCACTATAGTTTACAACAATGCATCATCTATTTTATAAAGAACTAAAAGTTCAAAGATTCCAGCACAAAGAAATTATAAATGGTTATGGTATTCTAATTTTTTATCTATAAAGTTCCTTCTTTCCTTAACTATATCAGTTAGACAGCGTGATTTTATTAGAAATTATTCATTCACCAAGTATTTATATACTGCCTGTTCTGTGCCTGTAAACTCTCATATACAAAGTGGTAGAAACAGATATCATCATACTACAGGATATTTAACTGAGATTAAACCCAAAGCGGGTGCCTCTGCTCTGGTTACCAGGAGAGGAGCACAATGGTGCTATTTGAGCGGGTCTTCTGAAAAGGATAAGAATTTACTCTGAAGAAGGAAATTAAGAACTGGAGATGTACATGTCTAATACACACAAGTCCCTGGGTTCAAGCCCCAGTACTGGGGGGAAAAAAGAAGTAAAAAGACCATAAATGGAAGTTTATGCAAAAACAAAAACAAACAAGACCCAAGACCCAGAAGTGTCTGACATATAGAACATTGAGTTTATCTGGAATATAAGGTATATAGGAGAAAAAATAGAAACAGGAAAAAATGTCATATGCCATGACTGTAACCATGGGAGTTTGGCCTTTATTCTTTAGGTAGGTAAGAGCTAGTGGAAGCCAGGCAGGATGGCACCCACCTATAATTCCAATACTTTAGAGGCTGAGGCAGGAGGATCACCATAATTTTGAGGCCAGCCTGGGCTGGGTTACATTATAATGAATTGAAGGCCAGCTTGAACAACATAGCAAGGCCCTATTTCAAAACAAAACAAGAGCTAGTAGACCTTGTTATATAGATCAGAGTGTTAGGCTGATCTTTAGAAACACAAGAATAGGAAAGAAGGAAGAGATTGTGGTAAAGAAATTAAAGGAATTGTGATCATTTAATTGAAAGATGATGAGCACCTAAGGTAGATCTATGGCCATGGACATTGCTAGAAGAGGATGGAATTCGTTCATAGTAAAATCAAAATGATATGATAAACATGGAATGAGGAAAATATAATGATATACTGACTCCAAATATTTGGCTTAGAAGACTGAATGCTTCCATAATGTGAATCAAAAAATGTAACAAGATATAGAAGCCTGAATAAACCAAGAATAGATTGTTTCAAACACCTTAAGGTTAGTCTGTCTTGGCTATTGATGTATTCTATGATAGAACACTTGCATGGCATGCATGATACCTAGCTTCAGTTCTCAGTACTAGGGAGGAAAGGTCAGCCAAATAGAAATGTCTGCATGTAACTGGATCATTGGTCTGAGGCAAGAAAGATTTGGGATAGACCTTTTTTTAAAAATGTGAGTCTTCTATACAAGGATGATGCCTCCTCAAACTGTAGATTTGAATGAGGGCAGAATAGCAAGAAAAGCAAATGCCAAAAACAGAAGCAGCGAAGTACCAGATGTTCTATGCAGTTCAGGCTGGCTTTAAGCTCACTCTGTAAGCCAGGCTTGTTTCGAACTTTCAAGGATCCTCCTGCCTCAGCCTTCTGAGTGCTGGGATTGCAGGCATGCACCACCACACCCAGCTTGTTCAAGCCTCTCAAATGCCTCTTATATGTCTTCTTCAAATCAATGTAGCCTCATTTTTTCCCCCTAGTCATCACTCACCTCCTTACAGTGTGGCGTTTCCCATCTCTAGATAAATGCAGAAATTTATATGCTATGATCTAGGTTTGTTGAGTACTGCTGAATAAAACCAACCATGGGGGAATTCATGCT